GCGTCCACACGGATCTGGGGGTTTCGTTTTTTTTTGTTTTGGGGGGGCCCCCACCCGCCAAGAGTTTTGACAAATCTGCAACATGGAATGCGCGAGTGTGTGTGTGCGCGGTATGCGTACATCTTCACATGTCAGTTTGGGACATTCGCATCTTGTTTGCATCGTACTTGGTGCTCACTGACCTGGTTCGCTGCGCTGCGTCGCTGGAGTTGTAGCAAGAGGAGGGTTGCGAAGGGGGAAATGCAGGGGGATGTGAAGAATAAGCGTGTCAGACAGTACTCCTCCCCAGGAGATGGATGCACGACATGTTGTCACGAGTTGCTGGCCACACCTATCGTATCATATTCATTAGTTTTACATGTGCTTCAGCCGTTCTTACTCGTGCAGAGTGTATTGACACGTGCCATGAGTATTTTTGTTTAGTGCTCCCGTCTGTTCCGGATGTTGCGGTATATACACCGGACTCGGGGGGCCGGAACCTCGACCGAATGTGGGTGCCGGGGCCCGGGCCCGCCAGTGGGAGGCCTAAAATCGCCTTGGGGAGCCCTCGGACAGCAATCCCGGCGGCCCCAGACGGTCTCGAGACACCCCCAAGACGCGGTCCAGGAGTCTCTGGCGACGCACGATGCGTTGTACATTGCCCCGGAGGCCCCCAAAACGCCCCCAAAGGCCTTTAAGATATGCCGCCCAAGAGCGCCCCGACAGGGCAACACCGTTGATTGTCATTGGTTTTTGTCAATGCTATTTTGCATTCTCGCTGTTTCGTGTTTCCGGCATTAAAGCACCGCCTTAGGGGCGCCCAGAACCGCTCCAAGACGGACCGAAGGCCCCCAAGAGGGCCCCAAGACGGCCCAAGAGAGCCCCGAGACGGCCCCAGATCCGCCCAAGGCGGCGCAAGAGGGTCCCAAAGAAGGCCCCAAGAGGGGCCCAAGCGAGGGAACGCGAAGTGAAAAATCAAGCTCTCCGCCCAAGATCCAAGAGGCCCCCAGGAAGCCCCAAGCGGCCCCCAAAAGGCTTCAAGATTCCCCAATCCGTAGCCATTTTGGCTCAAGGCTCGAGGCCACGGCCGCGGGCCCTCAGCATCAACAGGGGGGCGCCCGCGCTCCACCGTCCGTCCTCGCCCTGCGCGGCCCGAGATGGCGGCGGGAGGCGGCGCGGAGCCCGAGAAGGCCGCCGCGGGGCGCCGGGCGCCCGGCGCCCGGCGCCGCGTCAGCGTCGTGGCGCGGCACGTCGCGCCGTGGGGCTCCGCGGACGGCGCCGCGTCGCCCCGCCCGCTCGCGGAGGTGGCGGCCAGCGAGGATGGGCAAGCTGGGGGCGCGACGTCAGCGCCCCTGGATTTGGAGGGCGCCAAGTTCGCGGCCATCCAGTCTCTGCGCACGGGCAACCCCACTCGGGACATGCTCACCGCCATGATGATCCCACTGGCCTTCAAGGTCGTCACGGACTGCACGGGCAACATCGGCAAGGCCGTCGAGCAATTCATGGATTACATGAAGAAGCCGCCCCAGAGCATGTACACGCGCCGCATCGAGGTGGAGCAAAAAGTGAACCAGTGGGGGTACTCCTTCAGCAATGACGACTCTCGGAACACCGTGCTCGTGCGCGCCATCACGCTGTACCTCGCAGACAAGGAGCTCAAATTCAGGGACGCCTCGGTAAGCCTCATCCGCATCAAGGAGAACCCCTGGGACAGCGACTCCGACGGCGATGACGAGGACAAGGACAGCCGCTCGTTCCCGGGCCAACTCAAGAAGAACTACCGCCTGACGCGGTCCGCCCCGGAGGAGCAGTGGGTCACAGTCGAGCCGGGCGTCATGTTCATGAAGACGACGGAGGAGCCCGACCAGCAGGGCAAGGAGGTCAAGTGCACGACAAAGAAGATTACTCTGAGCTTGCAGAGCTCGACCGAGGAGCAGGTGGATGCCTTCGTCGACAAGGCGTATTCGTGGTACCTCGGCGAGCTCCGCAAGATGCAGGATCACTCTCGCTACATGTACGAGCTGGTTGCTATCAGTAGCAAGAAGGAGGAAGGCGACGAAGGCGGGGACTCGTCGGCTCGCAAGTACCGGCGGTTCAAACTGTCCGACGAGAAGACGTTCAAGAGCCTCTTCTTTCCCGAGAAGGAGACGCTTCTGAAGCTCCTCGAGGACTTCACCGAAAAAAAGGGGAAGTATTCCATCCCGGGATATCCCCACAAGCTCGGTGTTCTGTGCCATGGTCCTCCAGGCACAGGAAAGACATCCATGATCAAGGCAATGGCTAACCATCTGCAGAGAAACATCGTCAACGTCCCCCTGGCGCGCATTCAGACCAATTCAGAGTTGATGGATGTGATGTTCGATACTAGGTACCAGGTGCTCGGCCAGGAGGTACCCATCAAGCTTAGATTCAAGGACGTGATCTTTGTCATGGAGGACGTGGACGCAATCTCCAAGATCGTTCACAAGAGGGACTCCAAGGACGGGAGCGCCGCGAGCGGCCTCGTCGTGCCGCCCGCCCCAGCGCCGGCGCCGGGCGCCGGCGGGCTGGAGAGCGTGAAGGAGGAGGGCAAGGAGGCCGCCGCGGCAGATGGGGAGGCCAAGGAGGAGCCCAAGAAGGAGACGCCCAAGAAGGAGGAGGAAGCTTGTGCTGGAGTCGATGACGACGTTGACGAAAGCAAGAAGGACGACCCCATGGCCGCCCTGGTCAGCATGCTGGCACCCGTGCAGGGGCCAACGAAGGATGGTTCCGGCGGCACTTCTGCGCTATCTGGTGCTGGTTCCGACAAGCTGAACTTATCTGGTATATTGAATGCTCTTGACGGCGTCGTGGACTCGCCGAACCGTATCTTGATCATGACGTCGAACCACCCGGAGAAGTTGGATCCAGCGTTGATCCGACCGGGGCGCATCGACAAGAAGTTCTTGCTGGGCTACATGTCAGGGTTCTGCTGCGCGCAAATGGTGGCTCACTACTTCCAGTCGGCGCTCGCCGAGAGCGACGTCAAGCGCATCGGCGAGCTGGTGGACGGGGGCGCCTCGCGGCCAGGCCTGCAGATCACTCCCGCGCGGCTGGAGCAGCTGTGCGCGGAGCATGAAACGGTGGACAGCCTCTGCCTGGAGCTACAGAAACTGCTCTCGGGCTTCGACTCGACAGGGAAGCCGCTGACTCGGCTAGCGCTCAGCAGGACGCCCAGCGTGTCCGTGGAGGACTCGCTCGCCAGGTCTCAGACAGAGCCGCCCACGCCTGTGATTAAGCGCTGGTAGGTGGCTGAGTCGGACCCTGCAGTAGCTGAAGGCCAGGGGAATACGTGGATGCCAAGCGCGCGGTCGGATGTGTAGGGATGTTGGTTGCTGTATCGGCGAAGTGCCGATGCCGAGAAAGGTGTTATCCGTTTTCGGCTGAGCACGTTTATCGATGTGTAGGCTGTCGAAATCACGGGGGCACTGGTGGGGATAGTAGGGACGGTGGTGGGACCAGTGGGGACAGTGGTGGTGAGGACAGTGGCGCTGGGACAACAGTGGGGATGTGGAGTCGTTTGCTGGCGGTGAGGGGGGGGGGAGGGGTTCGAACCGGTAGTGACCCCCCTCCAGTTTTCGAGGGGGGGAGGGAAGGGGCTCGAGCCGGTAGTGACCCCCCCGGTTTTCGAGGGGGAGGGGGGGGGGGGGGGGGGGGGGAGGGGGGGGGGGGGCCGGGGGAGGGGAGGGGGGGGGTCCAGCAGGGGGGGGGGTCGGAGGGGGTGGGGGGGGACCCCGGGTTCTGGAGGAAGAGGGGGGGGGAATTTTCCACAGTAAATCGGCGGTGGATCACGCCCTCTCATAGATAGACACATGTATATGTATAGTTATACACGTATAACTTCACATATATATCTCTATCTCTATCTCTCCCTCTCTCACTATATATATATACACATATGTATACCTGGACCGAGGCGGGGGGTCCCGACGCGCCATGGTGGTGTCGGGGCGTCAGGGACGCTTCCAGACCGCCCAAGACAGCCCCAAGACAGATGAAAGGGCCGCGACAGGCCTCCAGGAGGCTTACTATGCGAGAGGCCTCCAGGAGCCCTACTATCGCGGAGTTATCGTTCTAACACGCCCAAAATGGCCTTTGGATGGCCCGCACTCCCGAAAGGGCCCCAAGAAGCCAACATCTCTGATGTCCCTTTGGTTTTTGGTGCATTTTAGCGTTTCAGCCTGTTGGCATCCTGGCGCTCCAAGGCTGCCCAAGAGGCCCCCAAGACCGCTCACGATAGCCGAAGAGGCTTCCAAGCGGGCCTCAAGACGGCCCACGAGGCCCCAAGACGGTGCCTGAGGCGCCCAAGACGACCCGAGAGGACCCCAAGACGGTCCCAAGAGAGGCCCAATAATGGGAACGCGAACCCAACAGCAGAGTCTTCTGCCCTAAGAGGCCCAGAGAAGGCCCAAGAGTCCCCAAGTGGTCCGACGAGGCCGCCATAAGCCTCTCAAATGGCCCCAAAAGGCCCCAAGGAGACGTACAAGGGGGCCCAAGATTGGCCAACAGTGCCCTCGATGCCTCAAAACTGTCTGCAGGAGACCCCTGGGAGGCTTCTGGATTGCCTCAGTGTGGGCCCAGGCGCCATCAAGTCGGGCCTCCACGCAGCCAAGACGGCCAATGACGGCTTCAGATTGCAGAACATCACCTTCCGACTGCCCAGAGAACCCCGACGATGTTCCCAAGGGACCCCAAGAAGCCCCAAGACGCAGCAAATTGAGGAAGCACGGAAAACTCCCCAGAAGTCTTTCAGATGCCCCCCACGAACACCCAAGAGGTCCCCAAGAGGCCCTCAAAAGGCACAACTATGTCACGCCTGTGGTTGATAGCGTTGCCCAAGATCTTCCAGCGCCCCCCCCCCCGGGCCTGGGCTAGCGCGCGCGAAGCGCGCGCTATGGTTCTAGTGTATATATATATATATATATATATATATATTGTTATCGGTAGCAAGTTCCCTCGTGGTATGGTTGTCGCTTTGCACCCGTCCGAGGTAAATCAGGTTGATGGGCTGTGCATCTGCCAAGAGATTGCCATGTGAACCAGATGATTATGTCGATCAGTTTGAGGCTCTCTGCGGCTTGCCAGCATCGCCCTGAGTCGCCCAACAAGGATGGCGGTTGGTAGGATCTGGCCAGGTCACATGAGATGGTTTGGTGACATTTGTTAGTTGTTGGCTCATATGCACGCGCGTGCTTTCTCCACAGAGGCGTCACAGGAGCTCAGTCATGCGTGAACGGCCTCCTGCGCAATTGCAATTCAAACAACGCTGTTTGTGTGTGTGTGAGTGCATGTTGTATGTACGTGCGTATACAAGTGCACGTATCGTGTTTGCACATGCTTCTTTGTGTGTCGCAGTCTCCGTCTGATGAGTGGTCGCCGCATCTATGAGGATCTCCCTCAGTTTTGACATACTTATGCTTGTGCGTCTACGTGTCTTTGATTGTCTCTCTGAGCCGCTTCGTGTGTTCCTGTGTCTTCGCGTCTGCGTCTTGGTTCCAGCGTGGTTGTCTTTTCCGAGCTATGTGTTGCTGGCTAATGTTCAGTATCGCCTCATGTGTTTATATATCTCCTTTACCTCTCTGTGCCTCTCTCTCTCTCTCTCGCTCTGTGTCTCTCTCTCTCTCTCTCTTTCATTGTTGTGGTTTCTGCCGCTGGCCGCTCTCAATGTTTCCCCTCTTCTCCAACCGCGCGATCTACGTTTCTGCTCGCCTGCCTCTTCATCATGACTTTCAGTTGTAATGCAATGTTTTAGCCATCTCTCGGCGTGGAGGCGCCTGTGAGCACCAAGTCCACTATCTCTACGTCAGGCTGGTCCAGTCTTTCCTGACTTGGTGAAGCAGGGATGAGGCAGAGTGCTTTGGTGGAGAGGACATCGGGGAAGGCACGACGATATCAACCAGTGCCACTCTGACACAGGTTGCCACGACGCCATCACGCTGGCAATGGCGATGGTGATGAGAAGGACAACGATGGTGATTATACGGATGGCGTCAGCTCTGGCGATTGCGATGGTATTCCCCAGAAGTTATTCGTGGGCAGTCCTGTCACCTTGCTCTGGCGATCGGTCCCGTGCGACTTGGCCTGCGTTTTCGCAGGTGTCGCGTCCCGTGGCCTTCTTGGCCAGGGCCCCTTTGGGCACTCGTGAGGCCAGCCTGTGCTAAAGAAGAACTATGTCTGTCGATGTGCAGATGCAGTGAGTCTGGCATGTCTTGAGGCTGAGGTGAGGCCATCTCTCCGTGCAGTCGGATCAAGGCGTAAGGTCAAGGCCGGTTCAGGTTCTTGGTCGTTCTCGTGAGTTCTGGGGAGGGTACTCTTGGATGTTTTGTGCGTTCTGGCCGACGGAGGGTCTCGTGCTCTTGCAGGAGGCTCTCCCGGCCCAGGTCCGACTGCATGGCACTGGGGAAGCCATGGAGCCTCTCGGCCCCCTCCCAGGGGGCTCTTGCGGAGTGCCCTCCGTCCGCCGAGGGGAGCCCGCGGCCGCCAGGACCACCGCCCCCCCCCCTCGGGCGTGTCCAGCCCTCGCCTTCGCATCTGCGAGCCCTGGGGCCCGCGGAGGGGGGCTCGAGATGGGGGGACGGCTGCCTCGCGCGCCTGGGTGACCACGAGTCGGACGGGGCCAGGACGAGGACAAGGCCTGGGACGAGGAAAAGGCCGTTCCAGAGCGTTCCGGAACGCTCTCCGAGCGTCCTGGAAGGCTCTGAGAAGGCCGCGGAGCCCGACTTTATCCCCCCGATTCGCCGGAGCTCCGCGATTCGATTCTCTGTCCTCGTCCCAGCTGTGTCTAAGCAAGGGGATCGGCGGATCTGCGCCTGCCTCCCTGGGGTCACCCGCGGGAGTGCGAAGGTCGCCGCACCTCGCGCCTCTCGGCCTGGGCCTGAGAGGCGCCCTTCTCCAAGATGGGGCGACGCGAGGACGCCGGGGCGCGATGAAAGCCCTAAGTCGGGTCTGTCCCTCTACACGAGGAATATTCAACGATAGTAAGAGATAGTCGGGGGTCGATGTTCATTAACTATTTGGGTGTATGTTTATAGTACTTCTTATTTGTCGCTCAAACTCTGCCTGTCGGGGGACATGACCGACCTAAAGATAGCCGCGCGTCGCGCATCGCGGAGCGCGATGCCCGAAGTCAGGCGACCCAGGTTGAAACACCAGCCGTGTGGATGTTTGTTCGAGCCGCTGGATGTTTGGAATCTCCTCGCTGCGAGTGTCAGCTGCTTCGCAGTCCCATCCGCTGTCATTTCCACGGCGGCTTCCCCCCCCCCCCACACGCACAGGCGGAGGCGACAGCAACCTGTCTACGAGCACGTGCGCATCGAGTGATGATGCTGCATGCGGAGCAGTGCCGTCCGACGGGCTGCCAGGAGCTGTCAGGGTGGCCGCGACGACAGAGGAAGGAATGATGCTATCGCGGCTATGCATTCGGTCTATTCCAGTGGGTCTCTTGGAGCTCTCTTGTGGGCCTCCCTGAGCCGCCTCGAGGCCGTATCGGGTCCATATTGGACCGTCGTGGAGGCATATCGGGATCATCGTAAGCCATCGTAAACTGTAAGTTTTCTTGGGCCATCTTGGCCGTCTTGCGTGCGTGTTGAATCATGAGGGAAACACGATTGAGGCGGCTTGGCGGGTTCAGAGGCCTTCTTGCGGTGTGTCCAAGCAAGCTCTTGTTATGTAACGCCAGTTGTAAGGAGTTGTGTCGAAGTTGCGCAGCACGAGTTCGATTTATATACGTGATCCAGATCGAGTTCGAAGCCTCTCATATTTTCATATGTTGATCGTTCGTGCATAAGTTTTCGTACAGGTCATTCGTGCTCACAAGTGTTCAAGGTTGTTGTTGCATGCAGGAAAGCACGTGGGTTATGAAACTAATATACCTTTTCATTTCCATATCGTTGTTTCGTCGGGACCCCTGGAGCTGTTTGAGCGGCCCCAAGGAGGGCCAACAAGGGTGCCGAATTCTGTCGGGCAGAAGGGTGGGGGAATCCTCTCCACATCTCGGTTGGTCATCTTTTGTGCACGGGCTAGTGTGAATACCCGACGCGTCAACAGAGCAGGCAACACGATTTTTGATTTCCAGCCCGAGGTTTGGGCAGTTTGTCCTTCCCAAGCCTTGCTCTCGTTCCTGACCTCCGCGTTGCCTCATTATCTTCATCCGCCTCCTCTTTCTCATACCGTCCTCCTTTCCCTCGGCCTCCTATCGGCTGCAGTATTCGTGGTTTGTCTGAGGCCTGTGCTGGCCCGATGGAGGCGACCTAGCTTGGCTGGAATACGCGTGCAAGAAGCGACTCCGTTCCAACTGCAGTCGGAGGGGTGCGCGAGTCTACACGGATAAGCTCCTCCAGAGTTTTGAGACGTCACCTCCGCCCTTTTTGCCGGCCGTGCGCCTCTCCTGTCCTCGGACTTGCCCTCCAAGTTGGAGGGTCGCCAGGTCGAGGTTCTTTCAGCCTCGTTCGTCGTGCGTCCCTCCCTCACCCCTCGTGCGTCCTCTCTCACTCCTTTTTGTTGTTCCGCAGATATTTGCATGCACATCCACCACTGCGTAGCGCAGCTTGCAGGGCGGATGCTGTCAAAGACGGGGTCCCGGCCCATGCCCCGTGCACGCGCCCATGGGCTGCCGCAGCCTACGGCTTGACCTGACCTGACCTGCTAAGGGCGTCTGGTGGGTCGGGCACTCTGGAAGCGGATGTTCCTAACCAGTCGCAGTCGCAGATGCGTTTGGTTTTGCGAGCTCGACGAGTGCGCCCAGCTCGTCTTCGGCACGGAGTCCTCTCGTTCTCAGGCGTGTTGTTGCTCATCATCCGTTTCACGTTTCCTCCTCCTGCAACTCATTTGATTGCCATTTCCCCGCGAGGCATGTGGCGTCCGGTGAGTGTTGTTTGAGGATGGCGATGCGGGCGGTGGCCGATCTTGGTTGCCGAGAGTGGTGATCGCGCTCATCTGCGGCGCGGAGAGTTGCCTAGGCTGCGGCAGCGGCCTCAGCGGACGGCGCGATCCATCGGTTGCAGGTTGCAGTGCCAGCTTGCAGTGACCTTGGCAGACGCGGCGGAGTTGCGAGCTCAGTTGGAAGCGCTCAAAGAGGCCCCCTCCCCCAGGGGAAACGACGATGCTGGTCGTGTTCGGCTGAGCGAGCCCGTCTTAGCAGCAGGCGTCGCAGACGTGCCCCTGCCCTGAGTCATCATCGCGCGCTGGAATCTGTCTGCCCACGAGCTCGGCATCCCCGTGTCGACCACCACTGCAGCAGGCCACGCAGAGCTCAACGGCCTCCAGGGAGTCGGCGCTGGCTTCCGCCGCCGCCGCCGCAGGCGCCGCGCGGCCCACGCAGGACGTGCTGGAGACCTGGTTGGGGGAGGTTCGCTCCTGAGCATGCTGGACAGCAACGTTTTAGAATATCCATCAGGATGGGTTGATTGGACCGTCGGCCGCGACTCCAAGGCTTTCGTAGCCTGCGCTGCTCTGCCAAAACATGTCTCGATATCGCGCGCATGCTTGCTGAAGTGCCTAAATCATGGAATCAATCCCGCCAGCCGTAGGCTAACATGTGACACGATGGGGCCTGCATGCGCAGCTCAAGCAAAACACATGACGCTCGCTACTGTACGAGCAAATTGCGCGCGCAGTCCCCGATACATACTTGCGCGCCCTGACTTATTTGCGCTAGCTTAGGAGCTGTCTCCTGATTTGGACCGCGCCAGTTTCCGTCGCCCTGCTCGGGCGACGGGCCTCTCGGGCGCTTTCTTCGGGCAGAGTTCTCGTTCTGGATTATGGTTCGACGGCCCGCAGAGCCAGGAACAGAACAGCCGAACATGGCAACTCCCCGGTCCGATATCGAAGACCTCGGAAGTCTCGGGGACCCCACATCCACATTTACCTCCATATGCCGCTCCGCTCTCGAGGTGGCCCCGGCCGCGGCGACGGGAGTCTTGCCGGAGGCCCGAGAAGAGCGACGAGTATCCAAGCACCATTGCTGGATTCAATTCCCAATGAGGGCTGAATTTGCGCGGGCGCTAAAAGCGACCGAATTCGGCTTGATCCCACTCAGTCCGGATTGCATGGCATTGCTCGGATGTGTATTTTTTCCCAGCGAGGAGTATCCTGGATCATTTTGTGGGAAAGCAGCGCGCGAAACCGAAACGTGCACAGGAAATGGACAGCCGAGCGATGGCAAGTGTAGTCCAGGGCTTCATACGGCCTGATCCAACGGAGTTGTTCAGAGTATGAAGTTCTGGAATCGCTTTTGCGAAGACATCCCAGGAGTTGTTTCCGAAGCCTCGTTCGTCTGGCCTCGCCGGACGTCTCGCCGTTCCCCCCCCCTTTGCCGCTTTGGCCCCGCCGGCGGTGCCCAGGAGCGCCGTCAAGGGCGCAGAGTTCGAGGCATTCGAGTCGGAAGGCGACTGGCGACGCCCTGCTGGGCCGCCCCACTGAGGCCGTGCGCTTCCGCAGCGTGGCCCTCGTTCGCCGCTTCCAGAATCGCAGGCCTAGAGGTTGACACCAACATCAATATCGGCGGTGTGCCTCCACCGAGGGAAGATAATCCCGATCTCGGTGATGGTGGTCATATTCTGGCTTCCAAGGTCGCCGAAGCATTAATTACCACCAACATCTAAATCTGGGATCATCTTCCCCCTGTGGAGACAACCCCCCTGTGCTGGTGTTGGTGCCAATTTATCTCCTGGCTCCGTCGCGCCGTGAAGACCGAAGGCGTTTGGCCGTTTTCGGTCTCGGGGGACCTCCGCCGGGCCCCAGGACCACAAAACAACGACTCGGGATTGAAAACCAGTCCCAGGGAAGGGGCCCATTTTAACAGGTCCACGTTTCAGGCGATCGCAAGCATGGATTAAGGGGGCGTGGATTAGCGACGAGTCCCGTTTCCATGGGAAATCGCGGATTCCAGCCGCCGAGCGAGGCGGCACTGGCCGCATTTTGGGGAGTGCACTTCCCCCGATCCATGGTTTTGGCGACCGCGCGCTTAATCCATGGATCGCTAATCCATGGTTGCGCGCCCTCGAATGTTGAGAAAACCGATTACGTCGGAGTTCTTTGGCCTGGGTCGGTCGAGCGCAGAATTTAAGCGCATATGTTTGGTGTTCCATGCGGGTTTCTCGGGTCAGCGCAGGGATCCCCCTTCCTCGCCCCAGTGGGTTGAGTCGATCCGCAATCGCTCACTGATTGCCGATAGGGGTCTGATAACCACCCCGCCCAGGAACGTGCGGATTCGCTGTCGGAGACCTGTCGCCGATCTATCGCGATGTATCGCCGATTCTAGGTCGATGTGTCTACCCCTGAGCCAGTCCCCCTGCCTCATCAGCTTATAGGCCAGCGTCGACCAGAGAAGACCGCGCGGACCGTGTGCGGTTCTCTTCTGGAGGCAGTCGCATATACGGGCGTCGCAAAAACATCGAGTCGGCAGCTGTTTTACTGTTTCGGCCGAAGGCCGGCTTCGGGTTCCAGCACCGTCAAGAACAAGTCAGGACGAACAGCCATTCCTGGGGGAGGAGACGAGAGGTCCGAGGCGGCCCATGTTCCGAACAAGTTGCGATTTCCGGGCCCTCGCTGCTTCCAGGAGGCACCCTCACAACAAAAGTAGTGGCGCGCGTTTCGGCGTCTGGAGTTCGCTTCTGGATCCCAGGACCGTCAAGCAATGATTCTGGATGGAAAGCATGCCCCCAGGAAAGGATCTTGGGGGCCCACGTCGCCAAACAGGTGCGACGTCGGTCGGGGGCGTGCGAGATGACCAGGGCCGTGAAGTCTCCGAGGCATCTTTTTTCTACGAAGTTCGTTGCTCGTCCGCGTGCATGCCTCGCGTCATTGTGCGCCCCCCCCCCCAAATTTCCGTGGTCCACCGTTTCCAGAGGAGGAGGCGGCGGAGCAGGAGAAGGAGGAGAAGGAGGACGAGGAGGAAGCAGCGCGCGTTTGCGACAGGCTGGTGTTGCTCTTGACCCGCTACGAGCTGGTCAGTCGATAGGGCTCGGAGCGAGTCTTGGGACGTCTGTGCGGCCCCGCAATCCTGGAAGAGTGGCCCCGCAATACTGGAAGATCTCTGGAAGATCTCTGATGGATGTGCGACCTTTGTCGGGCCCGACCAGCACCTGGTCTACGACATAATTGTTGTAGGCCAGCCGCTATTGGTCTATATGTATAATCGTGGCGTTCACAAGAAAGTAGACTAACATATTGGAGCAGGAGTCACCCGGCGGCCCAAGGAGTATGCGGTTATTCATTCCAGGGCTTGTCCAGGTGAGGAGTTTGTCGGGGCCATCTCGGGGCCCTCTGTTAGAATCCTGTTTGGGCCTCTTTTTAGGTCTTCTTGAGACTCTTGGGCCCTTCGGGGCCAGTTTGACTCCTCATGGATTGTCTTGGGTTTCTTTGTGGAGACTTGGGGACGTGTTTCGGATTCTCGGGGGCGTCTTTGGGCTCTGTTGGGTTATCTCGGGGCCACTTCTTGCTTTCTGGCTGGAGAGCCCCCTGGCGGCCTGCTGGGAGCGTGGCTTCGCAGGACCTCTGCGGGCATCTTAGAGCCGCAGGGGTGGTGCCGTGCCGCGCCGTGCCGTACCACGGGGCTAGAGGGGCTCCTGATCCTTGTGTTCGTGGTCCTGGCTCATTCCAGGTGCGATCTGGCGGGGCCCGAGGTACGGCGGTACGGTGCGGTGACGTGTTGTGCCGTGGCGTGTTGAGGCATTCAGCATGACATCAGGCTTGACGGGGGTGACGTGCCATTGCAGTGCTGTGCCGACCATTGTTATCTAGGGCAGTTCTGTGGCGATCCAGCTTTGTGCGAAGTGCAGCTTGGCCTTTACACATGACGGAGGCATTGCGCATGGCTGTTTGTGTACTTGTGATCATCAGTATACCGCGGCGTGTTATGGCAGATCGTGAAACATTGTGGTGCGTGGGATGCAGAGATCAAGTCGTTAGGATTGCAAAGTTCAAATGCGGGACGAGTGTACGCGTGTACCGAGTGTACGGGATGTTGTGGCCCATGAGTAGATCGAGCATGTGCAAGGGAGCCTTTCTGGGAGTTAGCAATCGCTAAGCTGCGGAGGAGAAATTCCTTCAGAGCTCATATCGTTCCCTCTCTTTGCCACGGAACGCAGCAGTTCCTCCGACCATCCTTCGTCTGATGTTTCTCCATTCCCGTTGTTATTTCTCTGCGCGTGGCAGTGGATGGAGTGTGTTGCCGCGCCTTCTCTCTGGAGGTGTCCGGGGGCCCCAGGAGTCTCCAGAGAGAGCTGAAGGTCCCTGCAGACCCGCGCTGTCCTGGAAAGGGGCGCATACCTCGATGTTCCTCCGTTTCCCTTCCTTCACTCCTCTGCAACGTGCCGCTGCCAGTATTCTTCGCCCGCAGGGGACAGCCGACCCCCGGATGATGAAGAAGAGGAACAAACGAGGAGATTGGCGTCAGGTGGGGTGGTGGTGGGCTCTCGAGACCGCCAGCACTTGCTCAGGTGCGGCCAACGCGATGCGAGCTAAAGCATTGCCAACACAGAAAACCCTGCGCGAGCCCAAACACCAAAGCGTAGCATTGCCCAGCATATAGCAATGCATGCCACAGCACGGCATGGCGCAGCGTAGCGCGGCGTAAGATGGCAGCGATGCACGGCGTTATGAAGCATGGCGCGGGATACCTGTGCGTGGGGCTTACCAGTGCATTCGAATTTCAAAAATTGCACCAACACCATTTCTCGGTGGCCTCATGGATGTTTTGGATTGGCGTTGGGACCCCCCGAGCGGCGACCTCGGCGCGCTCCGCTGGCCAACAAAGGTGTCCACCGCCGATCCAAGAAGTCTGCGCGGACGTCCGTGAAGTTGTGTCGATGCCGTTTTCTGTTCCTCTATCGCAGGCGATGTTTCTCCCCCAGCTCCGTTTCTTCGACAGAAAAAAGAGCCGCTCAGAAAAAGAGGCAAACCCTGGGATATTCCCCCAGGGGGCTATCCGGACGCACCCTTATTGAGGATGGACGCCCCCCCATCGTATGTACCAGGGTTGGGCCTCAAATTTCTGGTCCATTCGAAATCACCATGGAGCCTGGGATATGGGTCGACATATCCCCCGCTTCTCTATGTTCCGCGCAGCAGTGCACGGCAGGGCACAGCACAGCATGGCACAGCGCGCTATCGTGCAGCACGGCAGCACGCGGCAGCACACCGCGAAGCACGGCGTTGCATTCCGCTGCAGAGCACGACGCTGGGCGCGCCCTCGGCTTCCCCTCGAACTCTCCTGGGCGTTCTGGGCGACGCCGCGGGCTTCCAGGGGCCGATCCGATTCGATGTCGATATTGGCCCGCTCGATCCGATTCGATCCCGATATGCTTTAGAGCCCCAAGTCATCAGGGCTGGTGACGGTCAGGGGTGACTACTGATTCGCGCCTCGGGATCCCCAAACTGGAGTTCTGCTTCGGACCGCAGTTGTCACAGATATTCCGGGCGCCCAAATTCTCACGATCCGATGCGGCCCGATGCTTGCATGGCGCCGCTGTGCATCCTGGCGCAGCCGATTGGATTCGATTCCGACTTTGTGCCGATACGGTCCGTTCCGACGCACAATATGATTCGATTCGATTCGCCGATTCGATGTTCATCGTTCTTGGCTCCCCAGGAAAGACTCGGGACCAGTATGTATGATCCCGGGCTCCAGGCCGATAGCCCCCCCCCTTCAGATGGGATGGGTCTCAGGGTCCCTCGGCCCCATTTCCCCCCTCGATGGGATGGGGGGGCCGACGACGACGACGACGACGACTGCGACGGCGACAACGACGACGACGACGGCCGTGACAACGACGGCGACGACGACGGCGACGACGACAGCGACTACGACGACCACAGCGACGACGACGGCGGCGACGACAACGACGACGGCGACGACGACAACGATGGCGACGACGACGACGACGACGACGACGACGACGGCGGCGGCGGCGGCGACGACGATTACGACTGCGACGACGACGACAACAACGACGACGACCACGGCGGCGGCGGCGGAGGCGGCGGCGCCGACCTCCGGAGCCTTCCGACGACGGCGACGGCTGCAGCGGCGACGACGACGACGACCTCTTGAGCTCTCCTGGAGCACCACAATACCACGCCGCACACGCACCACCCACAGCACCACACCACCCACAGGGGGGGGGGCATCGCGCAGGGGGGGGGGGCGCGATGGCATCAGCATGACGGAGGGGGAACCCAGACCCTGGACAATATATCGTGACAGAGCTTTCTGGACCTCAGAGCGTTCTGGACCACTCTGTTCGGGCAGGGCTAGGACAGGGATAAATCGCTGCAGGGTGTTCCAGAACGCTCTCACAGTGTTGCAGAACGTTCTGAGGCGGCTGTGGCGTCCGATGCATCGCCCAGAACCGCCAGAATTCGGAGGTCCGGATGTATCCTGGTCCTGTTTTGAACCTAGCTTCGTCTTGCTGTCGGCGCTGGGCCCTTCTGCATCGAAGCGCACACCAACCACCTCGGGGAGGGTTCTGAATGGGCTGGTTCAGGGATGCAGGTGTGCCAGATGTCCCCGAGGGGTGCAAGTGTGCGAGATGCGGGTGTGCAGGTTCCTCGGGATCGTTGGGCGGCCCTGAGTCAGAATGATGGCTCAAATCCCCAGGGATTCGACAAGATAAAGTCACTGTTTTTGTCGGTTCCTGCTCTGGCCTGACGAGGCCGTATTCGGGCCCCGGGATCGCCAAGACCTTTCTGGATGAAAAGCCAGTCACAACGAGGGCTCGAGGAATCCAGGGACCTGAGACTCGGAAATATCCAGTTGCCTGCGGCAAGCGCCGCCACCATGCCAGCGCAGCAGTGCATTAGCGCTGCCTGAAGAGGGCTGATTTCAAGACCCGTTCTTGTTCAAACAGGGCGCTGAACACGAGCGGGGCTCAGGCTGTGTTACTTTGCTCGGCGCCAGTGCGTTAAATGATAGGCACCCGAGGAAGTGTTGGGCTTTTGGAGCGGGTGAATCGGCTGGAGGGAACATCTGGAACCAGGTGGTGAAAGCTGAGGCCAAGCTGGCCCAATGGGGGAGTCACAGGGGGCATTTCGTGGGACTGGTCCACGTAGGACGAAAGCTGTAATTTGGCCAAACTTCGTGATCGTTGCTTGGCTGCGGGACTTAACCCAGTGGTTATCAAGGTGCAGAACAATTTTGGGTGTGGACTGCGGATCCTGAGGTCTGGCACGGACAACGCTTTGGTGCCGCTCTACGCCACTAGCGGGCTCCCTGTAGGATCGTGTTTCAACCGCATCAGTTGCAGTTGGCCAGTTCATTAGAGCCTTCCGACGGTTTTGCTGGAAGGAATTGTGAGGTGGACATTGCGTCGTACATTGACGACGGCGCGGTCAGCGCAGATGGTAAGCCCCGCGAAGTTGTCCATATCCTAGGTGATGTTGCTCAGGACCTTTTTGCATGTTTTACCAGATGAGGGGCCGGCCGCGCAATTCGCTCGGGGCGTGGCCTGTCCCCCTGAGCGGCCCCTCTTTTCCCATCCTCCTCCGGCCGCCTGCCCTGCACCCTTTTTCCAGCCTCTTGCATTGTGGCAGAGTCGGCTACAAGGGTGCCCCCGTTTAGTTGGCCCTTCGCCAGCGCAGTTACTTTGCCTAGCCACCAACGCAAACAGTTTTCCCAGATGAGCTGGGGGTGGGCCTGGCCAGGGATGTTCGGACCCACCTCTGATGTCGCCACGCGCGTTGGTCAACGGCTCGGAACACTGGCGGGCCAGGCGGGCACGCGTGGTGTTTCTGTGGGCGTGGACCTGGCCCCTTGGGGGCAAGAGGTCGGGGAAGGTAGCTCCGACCACAAGTCAAATTAGCAAGGCTGGCATGATTGTCCAATCGGTCCTTGAGAGTAGGTGCTTCTGGAGCCCCAGATCCCAATCTACTTTAAGAGCCTTCCTTTTCAAATGATCGAGTGGCTTCACCTTTTTCCGTCCTCTTTAGGAGACGGGCGGACACCCAATCTACGTTCAACGCTTTTCTACTTAATTTTTCGACCTATTTTTTCTGACCGATGGGTAGAGGCTCCAGAGGCGCAAGCGGTATAAGGACGCGTTGCCCAGCAATACATAGCCGGTAATCTATATATAATTATATATAATTATATATATATGTATATATGGTCGGGGTCAAGATTGCAGTTCGTTTCATTGGCACGGTGACGAGACTGACGGCGTACGAACTCAAGAGAGTTCGTGCCGTGATGTTTTCCTTTCAATCGCCTTCTTACGCGGGAGTGCCAGCTACGGAAGACCCAATATGGAGAAGCATGGTGGTGCTTGCCGTGGCGTGGGCGAGTGCAGCCTGGCACAGCCTGGCACGCCACCACCAAGCTTGGACATAGTTTCTCAGTCTGCCTGAGCTAAGGCGCATGTGGTTGGCGGTACCGCAGGCAGGACTGTGCTGGCCAGAAGCAGATGGCCAATAAGTATGATGTGATTTTCCCTTCAGAGGATGTGTTGGACAGGCACGTCACGCATGGACAGGATCGATGACAGAGGGGTTTAGCTTGCCTGTTGTGCAATCCTTCTCCATGATCACCCGCTTCCTCCCTCTGGGGTCAAGCGGCGCCACGAATGATGGTTGGCGGCCAAGTTGGGATGGAGTGAAGGGCCGTGGGTTTGCGTCGAGCCCATTCGGGGGACCACGAATCCCAAGACCAAAGGGATAGGTCCCAATGCCCACGGTAAATATTCGGTGCGTGCGGGCTTCTGTGATGGCCCCGCTTCGGCCGGGCGCCGCCTGCCTCCGGCTGTGATGCGTGCGCCGGCCTGGGCTTGGCTTTGCTGCCCCTGTGCTCCCCCCCGCCCTGCCCGCCCGCGGCCTTTAGCGCGGCTGCCACGCTGCCGCTTTCGGGGCCGCCCGGGTCTCGCGGCTGCCCCCACCGACTATCTTGGCCACGTCGGGGCTCCGTACCCGCCCTTCCCTCTGGGCGGACGCGTTCGTGCCTCCGCCACGTGCGGTGTCGCCCTCCCCGGCGGGCCACCCCGGGCCCCCAGTCAGCCCTTCCAGCCTGCCTGCGAGGACGCCCAGCAGACGTCCCACCTGGTCTCCCCGCAGTTTGCTGGGGCCCGCCGCTGGCTCTGCGGCTCCTGGCCTCCTTTTTGTTCCGCGTTCTTCGGGCCTGCACTGCAGCCGCTGTGCCCATCCCTGGGTGCGGGGTGCTGCACCGGCTCGGCCGCAGCGGCCCGCTGCGGTCGGTCCCTGCCGCGGGTGCGCGCTTGCCCCCCTTTTTTTCTCCTCTCGCGCGGCCGTCCTTCTTCTTTCTCTCTTCTCTTGCATCCGGGATACTTCGCATTGCTGTCGCCCGGCCTGCTGAACGCGCATGCGGACAGATTCTGGCGCGGCGCGACGTTTACAGTTTCCGTGATGGCATATGGTCCGAGGATCGAGCAAGAGCCTTTGGATATCTCT